TGCTGGTGGTATCAACGACGATGACACCCAGATGCTGGAAGCACTGTTCGCCAGTCTGGGTAACGTTTGTATGGATCTGCAGGCAATCACAACGTCTGAAGATCCAGATCTGAAAGCTGCGCGTGTGCTGCGGCGTCGTCTTGATGCTGCGCGGCGAGTGCTAGAGGGAGAGCTTGATGCTTGATTTGATTGTCTTCTCATTTCTCATCTCATCGCTGCCCAGTAAATGATGCCGTACACCACGATTTATCCCCGATCCCTGATTGAGCGGGATTAACGTTCTTTTGTTTTTTTGGCTTTTTTTTCTTATTCGTTTTTCTTTGACCACATTATCATGATACCCAGTGTTTCTTTTTCTTTCTTTATCTGTTGACTGTGATTTTATTGTACCTAGGTCATCTAGAGACTTAGAGTATAGGAATAATCTAATTAATGTGATCAATGCATGTTGTGTATGGGATCTAAATATCTAAGAAGTCATTTTAGTACATGTAGACTATAATCACAATATTCCTCATTAAATCCCTCCCGAGGTCCCCTCTAGGGCTCTTCTGTTGGCTTATTTTCCTTCCAAAAACTAACAAACGACATTCAACTCCCCATCTCTCTTCATCTTCATCTTCATCACAATATACATTTCTTCGAAGTCCCCCCCTTTTTGCCCCGCGATCTCCTAATCGGGACACTGATCGCCCAACGATAAGCAGAGCCTGTCGCGCCCTCCATACACGCCACAGTCAACAAAGAGTAAGAAGCCTGTGGTGAACTATATGCAAGAAGATCATACTAATTAACCGCAAAAAGAAAACGCGCTATCGCTAAGCACCAAACCCAGAAACACAGCACAACAGTCCAAGGAAGGAAAAGGAAAAAAAAAAAAAAAAGACAACAACAACAACAACACCAAAGAAAAAAGAATAGCCAAGCTGAACAACTCCTCCCCCCAAACTCCAAGTCCAAGAAAAAGAAAATCCAACACGGATCTCCGCAAAAACCTATTACGCACTCTGCACACTCAAAAAGCCTTCACGATGAGCATGAGCGCGAGCGCAAACGCCAGGCCACCAGCAGGCGGACCACACTCAAACGCCTCGCGCCGTCTCCTCATTTTCCAGGAGACGCGCAACCCACAGAATGTCGCAGAGACCGTCTACCTCCCCGTCAACAAGCTGGGACTACCCATTTGTGGCGATGGACCTGAGATGCCTTCTATTTTGGAGTTACCGTTGCGAGTGCTGAGGGTGTTTACGGATATCTTTAATCAGCCGAAGTATAAGGGGTGGTATGTTTTGATTTCTTTCTTTTATTTTTATTTTTATTTTATTTTATTTCATTCTTTTTTATATTTGCTGTTTGATATCATGTGTACTTGAATGTGAAATCATATGCTAATTTACATCGTTGCAGGGCCGTCGTCTCTGCAGGTCCCTACCGTGATATTTCGGAAGAAGGGAAATTTTATGCTGTGGTTTTGGAGCAGACGCAGAATACGGTGCATGCATCGTATGAGACTCATATGGGGACACCTTGATTTTCAAATAGGGAAATAGGGATTTGGGGACTGGATTGTGTGTTTTGTTTTTCCTTTTCTTGCCTCATGTGTGGAATATTGGTCGAGTGTTGATTTTTTTATGATTTTCTTTGTACATTTTTTTTATCATGCTATTGTTAGCGTGTTTAACTTGTGGTATCTCAATATATTCCCTAGGTCAAAGTGTATGGTTTGATTAAGATGTATTCAGGTATTCATTTATGTATTCACAGGATAATAGAGTAAGTGAGGTAAAAAAATCACTCAAAATTAAGGGGGTGTTGAATAGCTTCAAAAAAAAAAAAAGAGAAAAAAAAGAAACAAAAATAGTAGTTGTCACACCAAATTGCCAAGTTCCCTGTAACAGGACGGTGTAATCTGGCGACGCCATCCCGGGGTGGAAATGTCTCTGCAGAATTGCTTCCCTCAAGGGTCATTTCCATTGCTTAGTGGCTTCCAGCGTCGTGGATTACTCGCACGAGTGAAAATGCCAACCCCAGGATTCGTACCAGGCACCTTTCCTGCTGACCTTGACAGCCGAAGCAGGGTAATTAGCATGGGCGGTGAGCCTTCCACTGGGTTATCCATGACAGATTAGAATTTATTGACCATCTTTGAAATAACTACTACATTTAATTTACTATTTAAACTATTTTTATTTTAACTGTATTAACAATATTAACATTCAAGGTTGAATACAAGTTGCTCTATTGTCTCCATTCTATACACTTTATCAATTAAAATACATTTATTTTCACATTCCAACATACCCGTTTCCAACCCTCATTCTTCACATCGCCCAGTGTCAATATCGGCCTCGACAGCCTTCACAAACTGCGGTCGGAAAGCAACCTTGTGGCCAATATATAGCACCGCAAACAACATCAGACTGAGGTAGTTGATAAAGAAGTCGGTAACACTGAACTTCGGAATGAAAGCGGTGAAGCCCTGAGTAATGATGATAAGCAGGTTGAAGAACAAGCCGTACCACGAGAAAAAGGGTTGCCAGGGAGCCTTATATGGAAGCGTGTCGCGTGAAACCCCCTGCGCAGCTAAAGCTCTCATAAATGCAAGATGGCAAATATTAAGAGATGCCCAGGTAATAAAACCGGCCAATCCAGCAATCTGCATCAACCAGTTGAAAACAGTGGCTCCGGCGTTGGACACATTGAGGAAGCCCAACAGGCCAAAAAGAGCCGTGAATCCAACACTTGCATAGGGCACGCCGTGTTTGGTCGTTTTTAGGAAAAAGCGAGGAGCGAAACCCTCATGAGCCAAACCGACAAGAATTCGACTCCCGCTGTAAACGTTCGAATTGGCAGCGGAAAGTACCACCGTAAGCAGGACCGCGTTGATGATACTAGGTAGGACGTTGACCCCGGCACGTTTCGCGGCGATGACAAAGGGGGATGCATCTGCATTTGCACCGCTGGCATTGTCGGTAAGGCGCTCGTCGTTGGATGGCACGACGATGCCGACGAAGAAAATGGTAAAAACAAAGAAAAACACGATTCGGAAAAAGGTCTTTCGAATGGCCGAGGGAATGTTCTTGCGGGGATTTTCAGTTTCACCCGCAGCAATACCGACAAGCTCGGTACCTTGGTAGGAAAACCCGGCTTTGATCAAAATCGCCCAAAATCCGACAAATTTAGCCAGAGCGTCTTGTCCAGGATCCTCGATCAGATAAGGACGGAACGGGCCTGGGTGCACCCAGTATCTGAATCCCAGATAACCCTCCCTACCAACGCCAGCATTGATGCAAATGGCGAAAATCATAAACCCGACGACGGTGATGATCTTGATGCTTGAAAGCCAAAACTCGACTTCACCGTAGCAGCTCACAGGGAACATGTTCAAAATTATGATAACAACCCAGAACACAGCAATGAAGATTGCCATTGGGATCGTGTCATCCCAATATTGAATGATTAGGCCAGTGGCAGTCAACTCCAGGGCAAATGTCGAGGCCCATGAAAACCAGTAGATCCAGCCCATTGCAAAGCCTAAGCTAGGATCGACCAGGCGTGTCGCATATGTAGCAAAGGCTCCTGGGATCGGTAGGTAGGTGGCCACCTCACCCAAGGCTATCATGACTGAATACACGATTGATCCAATGAAAGTGAATGCAATCAAGGCGCCAACGGGGCCTGCAGTAGCAATTGAACTCCCACTACCAATAAAAAGACCTGTACCTATGGCACCCCCTTCAAAATAATAACAATAAGAATGAGAATAAGAACAAAAATGTGTATAGCTCGGAATTCTTACCCATTGCGATCATCTGTAGATGTCGGCTTTTGAGCCTTCGCTGCAACTCCGGCAGTTGAGGTGACTCGCCATTGCTATGTTTCTCTTGATTCCCTTCAATGTCGTCGGCCATTGAGTATCTGATCGAAATATCGAAATTTCGAGTTTGTTAGAAGCAAATAAAACGTGGCAGAGCCGCTTTGGGAAATCTCAATTTGGATTTTCCTGGTCTCTGATTGGTTGAAAATTTTGAATATGCTACTAGGCACGTGATTTTACCTGTCTGCCTTGGTGCCTTAGGGCAATGATTCGAACCAAGTAATCAACATCTGATGGGTACATAGTATGGAAGAGACGCTTATGCATGTTGTGTCTTCCTAAAAGGGAAGGCAGATATCCTCCTCTATGATATCTTGTCATCTTTCATTTTCGTGTGACTCTGGATTTGGTGGGACCATTCCGATCACTTCCTGATATCCTTATTCTTTCACAACCTTCCTTTCACTCATAGGCGACGAAGTGTGCCACGCAGGATTTTGTTTGTATTCGTCAATATTATGTATATGTGGATGGATAATGTAGATATACAACCTGTCATAATTTTAATTGTTTTTAATGGTGTGGTATAATTGTAAAGTATAGTTTGTTGTATAGTTATATATATATATACCCCATCAATCAATATAGATTCCTTTCGTATAGATCAGGCAAAAGAATAGAAAAACGCTGTATACTACAAGATCAACAAGGGGTCGATTCCTAATGTACATAATTGTACAATTATATAAATAATGTCACCTTTATAAGCACAATATAGAGTTCACCCCCGGCCCTGACATCCCGGTATACGAGTCCTTCGCTATGTAATGGAGGATAATAGTTTGCCGGCACTAATAGCTAATAGGACTAAAGTCTCTGGTGACAAACTTCGTCACCCGTAATACTGGTAGTGTTGATCTGACATGATACCAGTGATTTAGCCCTAGAGGGTTCCTAAGAATGTCGCTCTATGTGACACAATCTCGCTCTACGTAACACAACCTCGCTCTATGTTACACAATCTCGCTCTACGTTACACAATCTCGCTCTATGTCACACAATCTCGCTCTATGTCACACAATCTCGCTCTATGTCACACAAGTTCGTCACCTTTCATAGGTATCCATGTTGTCGTTCTTATTTCTTACATTTTTCTTTCTCCTACTCCTTCCATCTTCCCAAAATGGCCATGGCTGCTCTTCCTGAGATTAAGGCAGAGCTTTCTGGAATCATAAAGGCATTTCTTTTGGACATTGGTTACGAGTTTCCTCTTCTGAAACCGTATCCTGCAGTCGGAGGCGAAGTGAAGCGGCATTTCAAGAATAATGGGTTCTCAGATGAATTTGTTTCGAAGATCAAGCCACAGATTAAGACCGGTATCGGAATTGCAACCACGACTTTCCAAACAACCCCCTTCAACATACAATGTACAGTGGCAATATTCACTACTTATTGTCTGATTATTGATGATTTTGCCCATGAACTCGAATTCAAGCATCACCTAAAACGATTCAATACCTGCCTTTTGACTCGGCAACCTCAAGGAAGCCCGATCCTTGAGAGCATGGGAGAGTTCCTGAGCTCTTTTCATTCTCTCTTCGGTCGATTTGCCGGTGACATGATTATCAAGGACTCACTGCAATTCATCAGTGCATGTTACGTCGAAGCGGAGAGCGAGAATATTAAATTCCCAATAGAAGCGCATCTGTTCCCCAGCTACTTTCGTCTGAAAGTTGGCGTGGCCGAAGCCTACTCCTTTATGCTATTCCCAACCGCCCAATTCTCCGAAGTCGAACGTCTCCGGTACTGCCTACCGCTGATACCGTATTTGACATCGGCTTTCAACTGGATAAATGACATCATGTCATTTTACAAAGAAATAGCTCAGATGGACAACTGTAATTTCGTCACGAACTCGGCCAGGTGTAAAGGGCTGACTGAGATAGAGTTTCTGAGAAAGCTCTGTGATGATACAAGCGACATGATTCGGACTTTGCGTACGCTTGGCAAGGCTCACCCTGGGTTATCGAAAGTGGTTGAGGCTTTTGTTTTTGGTTATGTGGTGTATCATCTGACGCAGACGCGGTATCGAATGGAGGATTTAGATCTGACATTCGTTTCTGATGCTAGAGAACGACTCAAAGCTTCGATTGAGAGCGGAGAATAAACGTTGCATGGGTGAATAGCTCCTGGGAAAAAACCTCGAAGTGTAGTATTGAGAATTCAAGACATCACCAAGTAAATGAATTTGAGCCTAACTTCATCCGTACAGATAGGAAATAAAGAACATCTTAGAACCTTTTACCTGAACTCTTTTTGTAAGAACAGAATGCGCTGGAGGCCTGGAGGAATATGGTGGTGTAGAGTTCATTATAGGACGTGAACTTCGCTGGAAAGGGAATATAACGTGTTCATAATAGGCAGTGACTTTAGTGAGACACCTGTGGGGTGTTAAGCAATAAGTATTCAAATAAAATAACACAGCCTAAGTATACTTAGGCTCATTACTGGAAGTATCCCTGGCCTGAACCTCAAATGATATACAAAAAGGCTCATGTCATACACTAACACCACCAAGTGGCGTTTCTTGGGCTTTTTGGTGCTGAGATGTTAAGAGTTGCTAAGCTAAGACTGTGGCTTTAGAAGCGTAAATGTGACGCCAGCTCAAATAGGAAACCATCATCCGACAGGGAAAAAAAGGTTGCTCCATAGTTATGAAGCGCAACACGCGACATGATTTAATGGAGAGAAAACCGGAAAATAGAATACGGTGGAAAACACAGCGGAAAACGCAGTAAAATTCAAATACACGTAACTTTGGAGCGCCCTGGTATTTTTCAAATACGGTAAACGAGCTCACCGTATGACACCAATAGTTACACCAGGACCATACACATACATACTACCTAGGTATGGAGACAACACAACAACGAAAGGAAGGGAATCGCCACGCTCTGGAATACTTGGCCCCAAAGTGTCTCCGAGTGGAAAAAAAGTAAGAAAAATCAAAGCTGAAATGGGCTGATCAAAACGGAACGCGGTGGCATCAGAACATTGGAACCCGAGGACAGAATTTATTGGACTGAGAAGCCCCCTAGGAAGGGCTATGGATCCATCTTCTTGACGCTTAGGTACGCCAAGGGGGCCAGCCCCAACTAATCTCCCTGGCGGCAATAGAATTTATTACATACCGGACACTTTCCTTGAGCCAACCTACTCATTGGCGCAGAATCTTCCTTGTTACCGATATCGGGCTAATGCGGACCTAATAGACCAAGATATATATATATATCCCAATCCCACTGATCGGCGCTTCTTGGCCAAGTTAGTATTCGAATCATAGAATCTCTCGCCATGGCATCGAAGGAAACTGAGATCGCTCGCGATATGAGTTCTGACGTTATCAATCCCTCTGAGAAAGAGCCAGAGGCATCCCACACACCGAAAGAGACGACTGATGTCCATGGAAACTCGGATAATGAGTCTCTCGACCAAGAGGCTCAGGCTGGTGTGAAGGGAGTTCAGGCCGCGGCAGCCGTTTGGACTAAGTCTCATCTGATCCTGGCATATGCGATGTGAGAATTTCTTCATGATTTGACGTCTATATCCGTTCAACCCACTAACTTTCTTGTGTGAAGCATTTGGTTTATCTATTTTGTTACCTCCATCCAAGAGGTCGTCATCCGTTCTCTAAACCCTTACGTGACCAGTGCCTTCATGCTCCATTCTTTGACTGCCGCCACGAGTATAATGGCCAATATCATTGGAGGGTTGAGTAAAATTCCCTTGGCAAAGATATTGGACTCATGGGGTCGGCCTCAGGGTATGTCTTTGATGCTGATCATTTGGGTTGTGGGTTTCATCATGATGGCGGGCTGCAACAACGTTCAGACCTACGCGGCTGCACAAGTTTTCTCATCCGTGGGGTACGATATCCATATTGAATTTCTTTCTTTTCTTTTTCTTTTCAATGTCTTTCCAACAGCCTAGCTAATTTGCAACAACTCCTAGATCCCAAGGAGTCAGCTATTGTTTGACCGTTTTCATTTCAGACACCTCTGCATTGAAGAACCGAGCCCTCATGTTGTCGTTTGCAACCTCGCCATACATAATCACCACCTGGATCGGAGGACCAATCTCCCAGAGTGTCCTCGAAGGCCCCGGCTGGCGATGGGGGTTTGGAATATTCACCATCATCGTCCCGGTTGTGGTGGCTCCTCTGTGTCTTCTGTTCTTTTGGAATCAGCAGAAGGCCAAGAAGATGGGCCTGCTAGCACCCAGCCGTGGTCCGCTCACCTTGTCTACAGTAAAGCAATACTGCATAGAGGTCGACTTGATTGGAATCATTCTCCTGGCTGGTGGAATGGCCTTGTTCCTACTTCCATTCAGTCTCTGGTCATACCAAAAGGATGAATGGCGGTCGGCGATGATTATCTGCATGATCGTATTTGGAGGACTTTTGCTCATCGCATTCGCTCTCTACGAGCGATTATGGGCCCCAGTGACTTTCATCCCATTCAATTTATTGATGGACCGAACCGTCTTCTTCGGCGGGCTAATGTTCATCTTTGAATTTTTCAACTCGATGGTCTGGGGTAGTTACTTCGGATCAATGCTCCAGGTTGTTTGGGGTCTGGATGTTACAGAAGCCAGCTATGTCTCAGCCATTTATAGAGTTGGATCCTGCCTCTTTTGTCTCCTCGTCGGCTTCCTAATCCGCTGGACTGGTCGCTTCAAGTGGCTGGCGGTTTACTTCTCCTTCCCGCTTATGATCCTGGGCGTTGGACTGATGATTAAATTCCGTCAGCCCGATGCGGGTATTGGGTACATTTGCATGACTCAAATCTTCGTTGCCTTCGCTGGTGGAACTACTGTTATCTGTGGCGAGCTTGCTATGATGGCACCTTCGGATCACCAGCACATCGCTGTTATACTTGCTATGCTGAACCTGTTTGGTAGTATTGGAAGCGCGATTGGATCAACTGTGTCTGCCGCTATCTGGACCAGTGAGTTCCCGAAAGCGCTGGCCAAGTATGTGCCGGCGGAGGTGAATGTGGCAACGGTATATTCGGATATTACGGCCCAGCTGTCGTACGAGTGGGGAAGCCCGGCTCGGAATGCCATTGCTCACGCCTATGGAGATGCGCAGCGATACATGCTCATCACCAGTGTTTGTATGCTGGTGGTTGCTTGGGGTTGTGCTGCGATGTGGAGAGACATTAAGATAAAGGATCTTAAGCAGGTCAAGGGACGCGTGATTTAAATTGATGTACCGTTGATAGAAGAGTGCGAAGCTGGCAGATGAAGCTTATGGGGATCAGATCGAAGCTAGTAGGAGTCAGTATGTAATAATGTTATTCTAATTAGTTGTCGGTCATACGGTTAGTATAGACAATATAGGATCGAAGAGTGCAGCTCATTGAAAACGATAGTCCAATGATTAGGGGGGCTTCCACATGGCCGAGTAGGGATTCTAACGTAAATAAGCTTTGACAGATTACTATTTTCAAGACATGGCCGTCATATCAAAAACTAAAGTACTATTCTATCAATATTAGTACATTCCAAGCCCTCTCATTGTTTATACTCACTAAAGTTACAAGATTGCAATCCTATATGATACCTAACACCGACTCTTTACGGGCACAATTTTAGAAACCCCTTTCTGAATCTCCAGCCCGTGGGCTTCTACTCGAACATACCCAAGCCGTCCTTTGATGCTCGTCATGGTCTCAAATCCTGTCTTCCGCTTCACTGCGACGGGACTCAGGCCTGAAGTAGTAGCACCCCCGAAGACCTTCCACTCTTTATGCTCAGTGGCTCCGTTCCAACTCATATAAACATTGGTTGTGTTACGACCCTGGTCAATGCAGGAAAACACATCGGGAAGAGTTTTGGGGATACCGACCCAGGGGGAGCGATACGCTCGGTAACTTGCGACGACATCATCGAATCCAAACTGGGCAGTCATGACACAAGAACCGTTGGCATTGTACTCCTTGATTTTAGGGTTTGACCCGTAGCCCATCAATACATGGTTTTTAGGCAGCAGTTGTGTGTTTCCTTGAGAAGTTGAAAAGATCTCGTCTTGTTGATCGTGGAGAGTTTGGATAAGGGAGACCTGGCGAGTAGCTAGATTGACGTTCATCAATATGCCTTCAGTGTGATCAGTGCCATTCTGAACATCAGAGTTGGAATTGTCAAAAATGCTAAGCATGAATGTATCCTTGGCCTCATCGTGGATGCGGGCGTCGTGTTGGTAGCTGAATTTGATTCCATTGAGGTCAAAGTCGCCACCAGTTTGACCCTATTGTACATTGTTAGCATATGGGACATATTTGTAATACACTTGAAGAAGCTTGAAGTTACCTGAAGCGTCCAGTCAACCGATCCATCCTTCGCGATCTTAAACAGCGAACAGTAGTAACGAGAAGAAATGATGTACGTTCCATCTTGAAACTTGTCCACTGAGTTGATGTGAAAGTAGCCATAGGGAGAGCTGCTATTGTGTCCCCAATCTTGAATAGGGTAGAATGGCTGTACATTTTCCAAAGGAATCTGGTGAATATGGTCCAGGGCACTCCAGCGGAAAAGTATCTCGTTGGTCTTAACATCAATCTCATAGAAGAGTGAGTCGGCGACCCATCCATTCTTGGGACCTCCCACGGAACTGAGATCAGTCTGAGTGACATTGTAGCCAGTAACCAACATTGTACCATCAGACGTGATTGTATTCTCGTGCATGTCAATCCAAGATACGAAAGAGGAGCTGTCAATGCTGCCCAAGGCCTTGTAGTTGTCGTTCGTCACGGAGACATTATAAATACTTTGATAGGACTCATCCAAGACCTGGATAATACCGTATCCCCAACCAAATGGCTCTGGGACCCCAAGACCGTTGAAGTACGTCAGGACAGGCTTCCCATCCAGCTTCTGTACTCGGAAACCCTTTAGGTCACCAGGTGGGCTCTGCCAGACAAGCTCATTGCTGTCCGACATAACAAACACGCTGTACCGATGCGCATCCCATGATTGATCGAAGAAGAGGTATCCAGGGCTTACAAGGCCTGATTTGGACACCTTGAGATTCGGCGGCTCGTGAGGGCTGGACTTGAACGTTTGCCAGGGCCAAGTAGTGTTCCCAGCTACAGCAAGGGTAGCTTGGAGCCCACAAAGGGCGGCAAAGGCGGAAAAATGACGCATGGTAGGATTGACTACCCTGCAAGTGTGGACTACTAATTCTTAGGCTTCCCTGGATGTCTCGAACTCAAATATGACTAGAATTGCTTGGAAATCCCACTGTCTAGCCGATGTCGGCCAGCCAATTCACTCCCTTATACGAGTGATTTAATTTGGTATTAGGATCGTCCTGAAGAATTCAGTTGTATCTAGGTCCACGGGTATATAGGCCCGTGGGCTGTTTGGGGATCATCTGATAATTCTTGATCAGATTAGATTAGCGGCTCCACATTGTATTTCAATACGGTACACTAGTCTGTGTCATATTACCCGTATTTCATGGTATCCGTAAAAGTGAAAGTCAGACGGACAGGGACTGATCGGCACTTGCCGAGCTCGTTCCAAGGTTTTCATATCCACCGCATTCATGGGGATGGGTCAGCTCGGGGTGGAGTATCCATGGATATAGGTACGACCTTATACTGACTAATTTACTCTTAGAACTCTCTTTAAGTTACGCCAACCCGTTGTTATCCCCACAGAGATATACCCAAGCCCACAGTGATACGCATAGAAACTGCCGGTGACTTGATCATCTACCGATCGGGAGTGACGGCAACGCTACGGATTACCATTTCGTCGCCCTTCTCTTTTGGCGCGCCCCTGTCGTCATTCTTGGCTCGGTATGAAAATTTTGATTGACAAAAGGGTCTCACGGATCTGATAAAAAAGCCTCACCTTCACAAGTGCGCCAAGTCTTGGCTCTAACTCTCAGTTCGCTTGGGCCTCTGGGTAACTCTCAAACTCCTTGCCAAGACCGTTGGAAAGGGATGACCAGTTTCATCGTCTGCTTACTGGAGTTAGTCGGAGTTAACGCCCGTGTGAGAAGCTTAGATTTTGGTGCATATTTTACACGCTGCAGGCCAGGAACGGGTGTGTAAATGCAGTTTAACGTTGTACACACATGGGAGGTTCTCTTAGTGTTGGAAGATGGGATTCTGGAATGTTATACGAGCATGTAGCCAATCGTGTCTTGCATTGAAGGCCTAAACGAAAGTATGTAGATCCCTAATTTATACAGAGGAATTCTTGTCATCCGCCCATTCCTCAAATGCCGTGTTTCCCGCAGCTGTGGGCATTTTCACCATGAGTGGTGCTCGAACCTCTTTTTCGACCCTGGTAATTTCGGGCTTGAACAGGATGCTTTCCGAGAGAGTCTGGAAGCCAAGTTTTTGATACAAGGGGACTCCCTCCACTGTTGACTCAAGGTAAATCGGCAAATTCAGCTGCTCTGCCACGTTTATTCCCCATTGCATAAGCTGTGCTCCGATACCTCTACCCTGGTAATCTGGATGCACTGCAACTGTGTGACAGTCTGTTGCCGGGTCAATATATGGTTATAATTAATATAAGAATCGGTAGCCACTCACACACATGCCTCTTGGACCCAATCCACTTCTCCCTCTTTTCCCAAAGCTGTCCTAAGAAGCCTTCGGCACGCTCTCGCTGTTCACCTTCCAACCATCCAATCCACGGCTTCTTACGCTCTTCGGTGGTCCTTTCCCGCCAGTAGACTTGCCAAGTCGCCATGCCGGCGATTTTACCGGTGTTGGTGTCAATGCATTGGAAGGTGTGCTCCATGCTCAATCCTTTCCAATATTCAAGAGTCCCCTCGGTGTGGACTTTACGGAACGCCTCATCGTTGAGATCGGTTCCTGGGTAGATGAGGTCCAGGATTAATTGGCCCTTGAATGCCGCAAACCAGACATCATAGATAGCCCGGATATCGGGGAGCGTGGCAGGGACAACAACAAAGCCCATATTGAGTGAGTGCAATAGAAAAGAAAAGTATAATCACTATTGAGGAATAGTTTAGAAAGAGTTGAAGAAAGTGGCAGTGTGGTATTAAGTGCATCAATATTCAACAAATTATTTCCTTGGCGCCAAGGCTCCCGAAGTCGGATCTGATAAGACAAGGTTGCATTGAAAGTTAAAGTTACGTAGGTACGTAATTGGCTGTATTCCCTCCGGGGCCGGGTAATGAGACATTTGGCCTAAATGTAGTTTAGTGATGATGATCCGGTCCGTTGTTCGGGTGGATTTGTCGGGTGCTGTTTTGGTTTCTTTCTTCTTTTTCCCATCCCAACAACCCCCCTATTATTACCAAAGCCGACTATAGTGATCGCCGTCATGCCTGGTCTCGAAGAACAGCCGCCCTTCAAGGTTCTCATTGTTGGAGGATCTTATGCCGGGTTGGCCGCAACTCTTAACCTTGTTGACCTGTGTCATGGCCGGAAATGTCGATTCAACCAGACTGAGAACGACCAGGGCCCAGGGAACAAGATTCCCGTGCAAGTTACCATCGTGGATGAGCGCGACGGTTATTGTATGTGATATCCTCACGTAACATTGGAAGCATGTCACTGACAGTAATTATTTAAGACCACCTGATTGGTCTGCCTTTAGCCATCGCTTCCAATGCCGATGCTAGCACGTTCTGGAATAAGTTTGTGGATATTCCCGCTCTCCAGTCCCCCGATATCAATCACATACAAGGAAGAGTAGACTCGATAGACTGCAAGTCCCGGATCGCAAGAATCCATCAGAATACTACGAATGATGGGCACAAGATTGTCGAGGAGAGATACGACTACATGATTACGTGCTCCGGCTTGCGAAGGGAGTGGCCCAGTGCACCCAAGTCTTTGACTCGGGAGGCATATCTTGCTGAAACTTCAGACTCTGTCCAGACTATCGAGAAAGCTGCAGGAGGTGTGGTTGTTATTGGAGGGGGTATGTGTCACCATATTTCTTCCGTTTGAGTTGTACCAATTGACTGGGTCGTTGCAGGTGCTGTCGGTATCGAGATCGCCGCTGAGATCAAGATGCTTCAGCCTCAGACAAAGGTGACCCTCGTTCACTCTCGGCAACAGCTGCTCTCCTCCGAGGACCTCCCCGATGAGTTCAAAGCAAAGGCTCTTGAAATGCTGAAAGAGTGCAAGGTCGAAGTGGTGTTGGGAGCACGCGTCCAGGATACAGTTCTCGGTAGCGACTCTGATCCGGCGAAGTACACACTGAAGCTCTCGGATGGCCGAGAGCTCATCACTGACCATGTAATTAATGCTGTTTCACGGTTTACACCAACATCTTCATATCTTCCCAAGGATGCTTGCAATCCCGAGGGATATGTCCGTATCACGCCCAGTCTTCAATTCTCCGCAGATGTGCCGAACAAGAAATATCATTATGCTGCTGGTGATATTGTCTCCTGGTCTGGTATTAAGCGTGGTGGGGCGGCGATGCACCAGGGGCACTGCGCAGCTGTCAATATCCACCAGCAGATGCTAGCGGAGCGATACAATACGGAACCAAAGTTCGTCGAGTTGGTTGAGGTGGCTCCCATGATGGCTTTGGCCCTTGGCAAAACCGCTGTTGGGTACTTCCCGACCATGGGACTGTCCACGGGCGACGAAATCCGCAATATGTTCTTCAATGATGATCTAGGACATGGAAGTAAGTTGACAATTCTTGCAACCAGATTGATTAAGCTAACAAAACCAGTTTGTTGGAGATGGATGCGCTTGGGAGAAGCAACTGAGTAAATATTCAAATTGATAGAAAGGCCATGAAACGATATTTTATGTAGTAGGGTATTGTGGAATTGCCTATCATAAAAGATTGGGATTAAACAATATAGATCTATATCAACAGAAACAAAAGGGCAAGAAAACAGCCATCTACTTTTTTCAATTATCCATCCACTGTTTGGTTCAAGGCATTGACCCTGTAATTCTCACTCCGCTCGATTAGCTGTGCGTGAGTGCCTTGCTCAACACAACGCCCATCCTCAATCAAGAAAATTATATCCGCCTTACGAATCGTGTACAAACGATGCGCAATTGCGATCACTGTCATGTTTTTAGATGCCTTCTCCAATCCGTCCTGGAGCAATCGCTCAGACTCTGCATCCAAAGCACTGGTTGATTCGTCTAGGAGCAACAACTTCGGCTTTCGGATCAGCGCCCGCGCAATAGCCAGTCGCTGCTTCTGACCTCCGGACAGACGATCACCATTTGGCCCACAGTGCGTATCGTACCCGTCGGGAAGTTGCACAATGACATCGTGGATATTGGCCAATTGACATGCTTCTTCCAACTCCTCTTGCGTAACTTCGTGGCCAGGTCGCGCACCAAGGCCAAGATTGAAGCGAATAGTCCCTTCGAACAAAACACTCTGCTGTGGTACATATGCAATGGAGTCACGGAATGATATGTCACCATAGGCAACGTCTCGGCCATCAACATGGATGGTGCCGGACTCGGGGGAGTATAGGCGCTCGACAAGTGAAATGATAGTGGATTTTCCAGCACCACTAGGTCCGACCAAGGCGGCAAACTGGCCCGGCTTGACGTTCAAATCTAAGCCATGAAGCACGCGGGTGTCTGGCCGTGCAGGATACGCGAAATGGACCTGTTTGAGGGATACGCTGATACCATTTCGAGTGTCATCGACCTTCTCGCGGCTGATTGCCATGGATTCAATGTCGTTCGTAGACTGCAAAAGCTTGCTAGGCAGGGTGTGGATGGGTGCTGACAGTTTCTTCGTGGATCCCAGATCTAGCAGATTTAACAAGCGGCGGGTGGCCTGGAAGGCGCGCGAGACATCAGGAGCCAGGGCAAACATCTGTCCCCATAGCTGTGAGCTGACGAGCAGCGCTAGCTGAACAATGAAGAACTGTGTCTGAGTATAATACCCTGCAATAATGTTTTTCGCTCCCCACCAATATGCCAGGCCATATAGGAAGTTACTGAGGCCATACCCGATAGCAAGCCAGACATTGGCCCATGCACTTTGGCGGGTTATCTCCTTCATGGGTGCCGCTAATGAGCGACGGTATGTTCCCATAATCTCGTCTTCAGCGGAGAGAGACATGACGGTCTTGATCGAGTTGACAGCCTCCACTGTGATTCCCACCGACCGAGCAAAAGCCTCCAGGTGTCGCTCTTCAAACTTTGCCAATGAAGTAACTCGCATCCAGCCAGCAGCCAGCAGCAAAGGTACCACAGCAAGGCAGACAATGGCGATACGCCATGCGATAATGTGCGACATGATAATGGCAGCAAACAGGTTGATGAGAATAGACAAAATTGTGCATAAAACGGAGCCCGTTAGGCCTGCAAGAGCATTGCTGTCCTTGGTGATCAAGGAAAGCAGCAATGATGGGTTGCGGTCATTGGATTCGTGCCATTGGAGATCCTGCTCGAGAATGGATCGCAGCGAAAGAACTCGCACTTTGTAGATAACGTTTTCTGCCATCCAACCAAAGAGAGACCAGCTGACCAAATTCGCAAAGAATTCAATAATGGCAAGGACAAAGAACATGAGTCCGTAGAACTCTCCAGCATCGCGAATATTCTGCGGCTCCTCGCATCCACTCAGCTTACCCACGACATTACCAAAGATCACTGCTGAAGCACAGTACGTGCCTCCAATAACAACAGAACCTGCCACGGCGAGGACCAGAACAAATGTATATGGTCGGAACATAGAGCCTAGCGAGCTAGCTGTTGAGGAAACTGACCTTTGTGCATCGACAACGCCGCCGGTTTCTTTGGACTTGGAGTCTTGGGCAGTAGAGATATCGACTGTTTCATCTTTATCGCGGATATCACCGGCCACGGAAAGACAAGGCTCGGCCTTTTCTGTTATTTGATTCACAGGTGACACCGATCGGGTGGATGTTCCCTCTTGCGTATTATCGACATTGAGGTTTTGAAGGCGAACCAGCTCTGCGTAGGCACCATTTGCTGCCAGTAGTTCCGTATGAGGGCCTTGCTCAACAAGTTGTCCTTGTCTCATGACAATGATGTTATCCGCATTTCTGATGGTAGACAGACGATGGGCAATGGTAATAACAGTTCGCCCCACGGCCACACCTTCCAAAGCTCGTTGGATGCGCATTTCTGTCGTTGAGTCCAAAGACGCTGTAGCCTCGTCTAGGATGAGAATCCGGGGGTCTTTCACTAAGGCCCGTGCCAAAGAGATACGCTGCTTCTGTCCGCCACTGATCAGGTTCCCACTAGAACCAACCGAAGTACCATAGCCTTCTTGGAGCTTCCGAATAAACCCACTGGCATCAGCTAGCTTTGCGGCACCTTCGACCAAGTCTGCTACCTCCCGCGCATGGTCCCCGTGTTCTAAAGAGGCGGCTTCAAGGGCTTGGCCACCCCTCACAGCGGCAGCAATTTCAACAAGCGCGGTGCCGGTCAGGGTCGACTGAAGATGAGCGTGTACAGGGGAATTTATCAGGCCCAAGGCAATGTTCTCGAAGATTGATCGATCCAGAAGACAAGGCTCTTGTTGGACAAGACTGATATGGCTCCTCAATGCACGCACATTCAGGCCCTTGACATCATGTCCGTCCAACATAACAGTTCCCTCGGTCGCGTCATAGAATCTCGTGGCTAAGCCGGCGACAGTAGACTTCCCACTCCCAGATAAGCCGACAATGGCGGTTTGTTGGCCAGCAGGACAGGAAAGCGAGAGATTTTGAAGGACTGGCTTATCTGGGCGAGAAGGGAAACGGAATGAAACATCGCGCAGCTCCACATGGCCCTTGACTTCGGATAAGACCTCTCCAACGTCCTTCGCAGTGCCGTCAATTGTGGATGAGTGCTCTATATCAGCCTTCAATTTCGTGAAGGCAACCGAAGCGGCGTCGAAACTTTGGATGAAAGGTGCCACTGTACTGAGGATCAAGGATGCTGAGAGATAGAATGAGTTAGCAAATGGTCATATTGATGCATGAATATAGACACTCACCATCAACTAGAATAAAAATTACAGTATATGTTGCCCCAACTGTCATGCCGCCCGCATCAGACTCTACCGAATCTGCAATCTGCCTAGACCCTTGCCAGAAGGCCAATGCATTGGCCGAGAAAGCAATAAAATAAAGCAAACCCGCTTGGGTAGCCGTGGCGATCGATTTGCGAATGCCCGCAATCCGGGATGGGTTCAAAAACTCGATAAACTTCTCCTCCAGCCGGGCGTTGGCTGAGAAAGCATGAACTACCATTGTGTTGGAAAATGCCTCGAGTGCCACTGAAGATGCCTTGGTCATGCTTTCCAGCGCGCGACCGAAGTACTTTTGCACGAAATATCCACCCAGCAGAGACATGATCAAGTAGGCGGGAGTCAAGGAGACCAACATTCCAGCCAACTTGGGATCCTTGATGAAAGCCACGATGTACGCGGTGATGAAGAAGGCAAGACTGTTGATCACGATGCCGACCTTTTCAGATGTTCCTTGTTGCACGGTGGTAATGTCACCTGTGATTCTCGAGGATGCTTCGCCAGCTGGGAGGTTGTCGAAGAAGGCCACATCCTGGCGGAGAAGGGCTTTGAAATATTTTTCACGTAGACGCTGAGCCAATCTCTCGCCAGTCAGATTCCAACTAAGCACATAGATATAGATCAGGAAAAGGTAGGCAATGCCGATGTAGACAATCATCAAGACTTTCTGGTTGATACCATCTTGGTATGAGTCGCCATTAGTGCTGTTGGCACTGCAGGTCGTTGAATTCATCTCATCCACCAATTGACCAAACACAATAGACATGATCGGAAAAGGGATTCCGGAGGCAACTGCGGAGACAAGGCCGAGGATAAGGAGGGCGATATCTGATCTGCTAGGCTCTCCATAGACAAATAGGCGAAAGAAGATAGCTCTCTCCCTCCACTGTGACAAGTTAGCTCGAGAACTTAAAGGCTCTAGAGGTGACATACGCTGCGCTTTTGCGCTGGTGTATCTTCAGCAGCCATAATAAAAATTCTGTCTATTGACGTGAATGGATGAGAGCATTGAGGAAGATCATTTGTTATTTTATCCCAAAGGTAAATATGCTGTGGCAGAAACCTATGAGCTCCACTCATCGATTGACTCGATTACCAAGATTTTACAGCGAAAAGCCGACGTCGGACAATACGTAAGATTGGACCCTTTATCAGATCGACTAGTAAATAACAACTGCCAAGAGCCAAGTATGTATTTGTTGTTTTTTTGGTTTTGGTCTTGGAGCTTCTTGGGTGTGGGGCTGGACCTAGGGCTTGGCCGAGAATGCTTTATGTACCTTTTGTCCGGGCAAAGACCTTATTTGAGAAAGGTCTAGCAATTTCCGATGCGATGATCTCTACTGTATGCTCGCTATATTCCGGTATGTTCATCCCGCAGACTGCTTGGCTATTGCGGATTATATTTTTTTTGCGTAAGTTGGGGTTATTACAACTATCAAACTCAAAATCTCGGGTTCGGGTCCAAGGGGCACATTCTAAATCTGATTAGATTTCAGTTTGTCCGGGAAATTTACTTCGCTGCGTTGCCGGTTGTCGGCTGAAGGTTTACGCCGTTATGTACGAATGTATCTGGGTATATGCTTCAAGTCTTTCCCACAAGTGCGTAACAGGCATAATAAAATCACATCATATTTCACATTTTTGAATCATCACAACTTCAATGAGCGGAATGGGTTGCGATCAAGGGTATCAGACCCGTCAAATCGTAGAGGTGCTACATGGAAGAACTTCTCCCTGCTACCAAGGATGAGCGCGGACCGTTTATGTGGCAGATCGACTAGCTTGGCCAGGTTCATTCCTGTAGCGTGGTCGTAGGTCAAGGGAGCCAAATTAGAGTATTTTGGCTCTCCAGTCACGAACTCCGTACGCGGATCATCCAGGAAGATGTAATGCATCAAGCCAGACCACCACGTAATTGTGCGGTGCGGGCCTCGGAAACGCTCATCGCCGACTAACGAGTGGCGGCCCCTGTCCCAGTCACCGGCATCGTAGTACGCACCAAGATGGTCTTCCTGTAATTTTAATTAGCCACGATCAAGATATTTGGGCGGAATAGAATCCATACCTTCGTCCAGTATATCTCATGATAGGAAAAGAAAGTGTCATTGAACTTGGCCAGCACAGCGATTTGGTGCGGATCCTCCTGGATTTTGCGCAAGTATTCACGATGTTGGTCCAAAGTTCCAGTTTCGTTCCACCCCTGAGCGACTCGGGGGTCATTCTGCCACTTATTGAACAGCCCCAGGTGCTCGTCATTTGTGTAGTCTAGCGCATAGACCGAGAAAAACTCGTCCAAGTGTGGAATGTAGCGGCTGTAGATGCGAGAGCCAGGGGCTGGTTTGGGTGGGCGTACGGGGTGAAGGGCGTGTACTCGACTCTCCGGGAAGCCAGTGGTGACTGTGTGTTGTCGTGGTCGGGAAGGGTAGTTGCTCAACGGCTTGCGCATATAGCTGTAGATCCCAGGGTCAGATACCCATGCTGGGCGGGTGCCAAAGGGTGAGCCAGCTCCTTGCCAGAAGCTACTGCGGGAAAATACCAGCTGCCCAAGGTGGTTGGTGGTACTTGGGATCGGCTTTCCTGGAGCAGCAGAGGGTTCTGGGTGCGCGATGGCTAAGCCCACACCCTGTAACTCGCATGCAAGTATGTCACTCCCATGACCAGACAGCACACCACGGAATATCTCGAATTCGCTGCGCAGGGTCTCGATGGCATGGACCACATTCCAGATTTGGCCCACCGTTGGCGTCTCCAAGTCTTCCCATGTAATATAGGTAACTGGGCTCCTCTGTGCGCGTGCCCAGGGTGAATTGTTTCCCTCCTCTGGCGTGGAAGAAGTATCAGGCCGGGCTAAATCTGTGAACCTCAGCAACGCATGGTCCAAAGACTTCGGGGGTGGTATGCCCTCATCTCCGCGAGGAGATCTCAGCAGCTGAAACTTGCGGAGGTTCTGCTCGGTTGATACGACGTGCAATTCATAAGTTGTCTTGTACGGCTCCGGTAGCCGCACCAAGGGCAGAGAACTTAAAGACATAACGATAGCTATGCTATCAACTCAGAAGAGGAGCACAAGGGAATAAGTAATCAGATATGCAATATCGGCATTGATCACCTTATCCTCGGTATACTCCGGCTCGGGGGTTTCTCGAGTATGCCATGTAGGGAATTGATCATCATCGTCTATGTGCACGAAGCACCGGTCCACCAGTCATCGGATTCAGGCAACTGAGTCCTTGGCTGCTACAAAAGGCCATCCTTGTATTTCAGTATCGCTGCTTGGCGCAGATTAATACCAAGAAGGGGAAGTTGATGCAAGCCCCCCATACATGATCGAGACATGAGTTTCCATGGTTGGTTCAAAAATTCCCAACGTAATCAATCAACGGATATCCGATGTCGCAACCCATCTTATCAATCTGGCGGAAACTTGCGATTCCCCGAAAAGGGTAACTTTGAAAAGGACGATCATCATAATGGTAACAGTGTTCCACCAAACAACATTCGAAAATTTCGAATATGACTGTCAGCAGAGTGCAGGCCCCACCGATACAAAGTACAAACCCACATCGGCAGTGAACTTAGAGATAACCCAAGACCTGTATCGTCGACTGCTAGAGCTCTGATGGGTTGCAATAGGTTTTTAGTGCCAAGGTGGGCCCGGGGTGGCAGTGCCTAACGTAGATCTCGGCAGCCCTTGGCGGCTCTTGGGAGACACTGTATGGTATGGTATGTAAAGTACTTTTGGTAATTTGCGTTATAACCATACACGGGCTCAGGTTTCCCCATTCTGGTATACAACGTACTGATCCAAGTATACGACAGCTCCATTGCAATATTGACAATGAAGTCTCGGCATCTGGTCGGATTGTTTCTGTCCGTTGTGGCTCTATGTGCTGTAGACACGGGATTTCTCGCAAGATGCCAAGTCCATCACTGAAGATCAGCATCAGATAATTTAATCAGATCGTTGCTTCGTAGTCCCCAGAAAAGCCCTAGAGACACTTTCTTGATACTACTCTTTTTCAAAAATATGGGTGAATATATCGAGTCCAGTGCGACCCCTTGGGTCGGCAAAAAGTTGAAGAAGCCACATGGTGCTGGCTGGTCCGACTGTATGGCTCTGCCAATGCTTCCGGACATAAGGCATGAGGAACTTCTCGCTCTCGCTTGGGTCCTCCTTCTCTTTCGGGGAACAGTGCACAGTGAGGATGGAGGCTTTTCCTGGGTGAAAGAAGGCAGTCTCCAGGGGTATCTTATCTCAGATGTGATTGAGGGAGAAGGCAGCTCGCTGAGATCTGCTTTAGAAGCAATCCGAAGGCGGGGTCAATTTGACGGCGAATTTTCGGATACACTGTTGTGTCAAAATGCCTGTCTTGAGACTAAAGTAAGTAAATCTAAGCCTATTGGTAGCATCGGCTGTTAACTCGATCAGTGGACGTTTGCTTTGGAAACAAATATCTCGCACGATGTTGTTTATATTCGCGGGACTCCTAGGTCCCCGACGGCCACGCAGCCCGTTGAAACCATCCTGCCTCATGTCCTCACCGACCTCATTACTTCCATTGCCAATGATCTTGATCAGCCCATTGCGGAGGCCGTTCGGATTGGACAGCAGGAGCTGTCACAATTGTGGAAATGGAACGGGCCAATACCCCTCACTATCAATCATTGCATCCAAGATATAATCAGTGAAAAGGCTCAAAGTCAACTCGATCGTCCAGCAGTTGTGTCTTGGGATGGAGAGATGACCTACAGACAGCTAGAAGAGCGCTCAACAAACCTAGCTAGGCATCTCGTTGATCTGGGACTGCAAGTTGGCAAGGCTGTTCCACTCTGCTTTGAAAAGTCCATGTGGACAATTGTTGGTGTCCTGGCGGTGATGAAAGCCGGTGGTGCATTGGTTCTCATGGATCCCAGTCAGCCAGAGGGACGACTGAGAACCATCGCCAGCGAGGTTGAGGCTGGTTTTATATTGACCTCGGAGTTGCAGGCGGAGCTGGGTTCACGCATTATCCCAGGAGGAAAGCAAATAATTGTTGGCCCACTGGTCGACGAAAACGAATTAAAACCACGCACTGTGGACCTACCTGTGGTTCCATCATCGTCAACCCTTTACATCCAGTTCACCTCCGGTAGTACTGGCAAGCCCAAGGGTGTGGTTATCTCGCACTCCAGCTACACTAGCGGTGCAGTGCCTCGTGCCGCAGCTGTGGGATACAAAGAACACTCGCGAGTGCTCGACTTCCCCTCGTATGCATTTGATGTCAGTGTTGACTGCATGTTGTGCACTCTGGCCAACGGAGGCTGCATTTGTGTGCCCTCAGAAGACCAGCGAGTCAATGACCTCAGCGGTGCTATTCGTCAAATGGGTGTGAACATGGCACACATGACACCATCAGTCGCGCGTGTCTTGGCTCCTGATATTATGCCCTCGCTAGAGGTCATTGGCCTTGGTGGCGAGGCAATATCTGCTAGCGATGCGGCCGAATGGGGACAAAAGACGAAGATTGTAATTGCATATGGCCCATCAGAGTGCACTGTTGGCTGCACAATCAACAACGACATCCCTCCCGGTCGATTGTACACTAGTATCGGACAGGGAGTCGGTGGCATGACATGGGTGGTAGATCCATCTGATCATGACCGGCTGATGCCCATCGGCGCGGTAGGAGAGCTGCTTGTAGAAGGCCCCGTGGTTGGCGATGGATATCTAAATAACCCGGAGAAAACCGCCGAGGTTTTCATCGAGGACCCAGCATGGTTGGTTGAGGGTGGGGGGATGTACCAGGTCGCAAGGGCCGTCTCTACAAGACGGGTGACCTGGTAAGATACGACCCTGATGCCTCAGGCAGTGTTGTTTTCATCGGCCGTGCCGATCAACAGGTGAAACTGCGTGGCCAGCGCGTGGAACTGGGCGAAATTGAACACCACGTCCGAAACTATTTTCCCACTGGAGCAAGTGTGGCAGCGGAGGTAATCTTTCCCGGAGGGAAGAAATCAGATGCCACACTAATTGTCTTTGTGGCGGAAGAAAAGAGCGACAAGACGGGTGCAATCAGCGAGATTATCTCATTTTCGAGTTCATTCCAGAAGCTGATTGCCGGTATTGATGATGCTCTCGCGACAAACCTGCCCCGTTATATGATACCCACCGCATATATACCACTCAACCATATGCCACTTCTGGTATCACTTAAGACAGATCGGAAGCAGCTGCGTGCTCTCGGGAATGACTTGACAAGGCGGCATATTGCGGAGCTTAGATTGTCTACAGTTGTCAAAATAGCACCCCGAACAGAAATGGAGCGCAAGCTTCACGGCCTATGGTTGAAACTGTTTGGTGATGAGACAGAGATCGGGGTCAATGACCACTTTTTCAGCCTCGGGGGTGACTCGCTGAAAGCCATGAAGTTGGTGGCTGCTGCACGAGAGCAGCTTCTTGCTGTTCAAGTCACCGATATTTTTCAATCACCCGTGCTTGAGCACCTGGCCCTCAAGGTAAAGGAAGGTGAGAATAAAGTTCCGCTGGATGTTCTTCCATTTTCGCTACTTCCAGCAAGCTGGGAGGCCGACGCTGCACGGGTCGAAGTGGCCTCATTGTGTAACTTGGATCCGAGAGAAGTGGCCGATCTGTACCCCTGTACACCTCTCCAAGAAGCCCTCATGGCCCTCTCCGCAAAGTATACCGATGCTTATGTCGCGCAGAGAGTCATTGAGCTCCAGGATATACAAACCGCGGAACGGCTAAAGTCTGCTTTTGAGCGTGTGTCAACAGAGTCTTCGATCCTACGGACAAGAATTGTCCAAGTTCCACGCCGAGGATTGATGCAAGTCGTTGTACGGGCCAACACTCCATGGCTCACCAGTTCCAACTTGACAGAGTATCTGAGTATCGATACTATTAAGGGGATGTCCCTGGGAACTGAGCTTGCTCGTTTCGCTATTGTGAACGATAATACAACCAGCAGAACATCCATCGTCCTGAGCATCCACCATGCACTTTATGATGGTTGGTCAATGCCATTGATAGTTGACCGAGTAAATCGAGCCTATCGCGGTGAGAGTATTGGCAGCCCAGCACCGTTCAAGAACTTTATCAGGTGGCTTGGTAACACCGATAGAGCCTCCACGGAGACATATTGGGCAGCTCAACTGGAAGGTGCTACATCGCTACAATTCCCTCTCATCCCATACACTGGGTATCAAGCTCGTGCTGATTCACTCCTTGAACATTACGTTAAGCTGCCCCGGGCTTCGTCGAGCTCCACAACGAGCATTGCAACCACTATTCGAGGTGCTTGGGGTCTTCTAGCAGCGCATTACACATCCTCTGATGATGTCGTGTTTGGGGAGACTATGACCGGCCGCACAGCTCCCGTGGCAGCGGTCGAGGAAATCGAGGGCCCGATGATAACCACCGTCCCAGTTCGAGTTTGTATCGATCGCAAGGCTCGAGCATCAAACTACCTTCAGCAGATTCATGATCAAACGGTAGATCGCATTCCCCACGAACACATGGGTCTGCAGCATATTCGACGTTTGAATGCCGATGCTCGTGAGGCGTGTGAGCTGCGCACAGGTATTGTAATTCATCCAACAGTCGAGGAAAGTGTACCCTCTTCGAAAGAAGAGCCAGCCACCGCATTTGTGCCAACCAGTGAGGCAGAAGCCGCTCGTGAAGCGTTGAAATTCAATTCATACGCCCTCATGCTTGTCTTCACCGTTGATACAAAGGGTTTCCTTGTCATGGCTAGCTTCGACTCAAAAACCATTGATGTCCCGCAAATGGAGCAAGCACTCAAACATTTTGATCGACTGGTGCAGCAGATCCTCGAGGATCCAACTCAGCGAATCCAGCATATCTATAATTCCACAATTGAGACGGATGTTGCAGAACAATGTCGTTTGGCCAAGATTGGCCTGGCGAGTCTCCCTGCGGAGGACCTTTACTCGGCTGCCATATCTACTTGGATCGTTAACCCAAATGACCATGAGTGTCTTGTACCATCTGGTGGGGTGGGTGAGCTGCTCGTTGAATGCAAAGGTGAACTGGCTTCCGGCGATTTGATTGCGAATCCAACTTGGTTCAAAGACCACACGAAGCTGTACACGACAAACCAGCTGGCGAAATATACCAATGATGGCTCCGTTATTATTATCCGCGCACGCGATGCCCAGATCGATCAACTCAAGCCCCGAACTAAAAACCCCGATGGCTGTGCAGCAATCACAACGGCCGCACAGCAAAAGCTCCAACGGGCCTGGAGCCAGGTCTTAGATATTCCCTGCGAGGATATCCTTTTGGATGATAGCTTCTTCGATTTGGGTGGTGACTCCATTCGTGCGATGAAGTTGGTCTCGGAGGCTCGTATGGATGGCCTGCAGCTCACTGTAACCACAATCTTCGATCACCGGTCTCTGTTTGACATGGCCGCACACGCAGTGGAAGCCCAACCATCAGTCATTACATCTCATGATTACGCGCCATTCAGCTCACTCGATGTGACCGATGTAGATGCATTCATCAACAAGATGACCCCATTGCTTGCTCAGCCTGAGTGGAAGATCGTGGATGCCTATCCAAGTCGCCCACTCCAGGAAATTGCGGTTCGGGGAACTGTCCAGCTACCTCGGTATTCTATGCGATACGAATTGTTCTACATGGATACCGTGGTGGACCACACTCAACTGTTCCAAAGTTGCCAGGAACTTGTCTCTCGAAATGAGATCCTTCGAACTGTGTTCGTGGAGCATGAGGGGCTCTCGGTGGGAGTGGTTGTCGACGACCTTCCCTGCCAGATAATTGAATATGAGATTGAAAGTGACGTGGAAGCATTCAGCCAGAAACTCTGTGATGTGGATGTTCAGTCACGCATTCCTCTTGGATCACCATTCTTGAAATTCCTCTTCGTTCGGCATGTTGACGGGCCCAGCAGCCTGATCATGCGCATCTCCCATGCCCAATACGATGAAATCTGTCTTCCGATCTTGCTACAGCAGCTATCGGCGCTATACGAGGGACGAGAGGTGCCGAAGAGTCTGCCATTCTCGTCTTATGTCGGTCACGTGACTCACACTAATCTGCCAGTCAGCATTCCGTACTGGCGTGATCTCCTTCGAGGGGCGTCTATGACGCGGATCCAGCCCGATATCCCTGTGGTGTCTGCAGCTCATTTTGCCATCTCCAAGGATGTTAATATAGCCGCGCGACCACAGGAAATTACAGTCGCAACTCTCCCTACAGCGGCCTGGGCGCTGTGCCTTGCGCGACGCCTATCCCTTGATGATGTCACTTTTGGCGAGGTAGTAAGTGGTCGCAACATTGACCTCCCCAACGCTGGTTCAATTGTTGGACCATCATGGCAGTATGTACCAGTGCGGGTGAAATTTGGGGATAAATGGAGTGCCATGGATCTTTTGCGGTTTGTTCAGCGACAACATCTCCAGAGCGCGCAATTCGAAGGAATCGGTCTTAAGGAAATTATTAAGGACTGCACCGACTGGCCGGATACTGTTGACTGGTTTGATTCTGTTGTGCACCAAGACGTTGAGCACGTTGAGGGTCTCTCTTTCATGGGGGCCAGTAGTCGTATGCAGACCATCTACCCGCATTTCGAGCCATTGCGGGAGATCAAGGTGCAGGCATTCCCGAAGGGGGATACTCTATGTATTGAAGTTGTCACTGTCGAGTCATGGTCGGAATTTGCTGTGTCTTTGCTGGATGAGATGGTCGACACTGTTGGACAGTTGGTGAATCAGGTCCATTCCAGGATCTTGTAAATGGGGTCTTTCTACTTGCTACCTACGTTCCTCTGTTTATGTCAGTTAATTATAAAGTTTGAGCTTGACTCAGTTGGGAAAATGTAATGCTTCACCACAGAAACGCAGTATGCTTGGTCTAATCCAAGGCCTGCACTAATTGGGTGAATATCCAACCACCACCTACTATTAGGGGTATATAAAATATAACTATACTTGATTATGAACAATTTAATTTTGGCAAATATGGTAGAGTTGTAATATAATGCGTTGCGAAGGGTCAGATATAGGTTGGAAATATATATTTGATCCCAACTGGCCAAAAAGTCCCAGTCGATTTTAAGAACCATCATGTTGGTTATAAGATCCAAAGGACAAGATATATAAGCAGAAAGCGACAGGTCAAGCAATGGACTATATATGGAGCAAAGACGGAAGCTCCTAGGAATTATCCTACAATTTGTGAAGCTTGAATTCCTCCAGGACTTGTATTTTAAGTGTCAGAAGTGTATCCATGAAAATATTCATATATTGCACACTGCAAGATAAAGATAAAAACAATCTCGTTTGACGTGCAGAAGGAAAGATAAAGACAGATGCTGTGAATATTGGATATGGATAATGGATGCCGAGGTTAAGGTAAGTGCCCTACTCCTGAACTCGCTGCTTCCTCCAAGTCAAGAAGACCACATAGAACTTCTCAGTATTTGCATCAGATTGTGAGTGACCCCCAGGACTAACATCGCTACTGGTGTCCAAGTCGGATCGAGGATCAAATGGCACCAAAGCCGGAGCCACAGGAACCGGCTCCTGGGCAGATTGAGATTCTGACCCAGGTTCAGTATAGACCGGCCATGCCGGTCTCTGTCTTTTCAACTCCGCCTCTTTCGCCCCAGCCCAAGTATATGCACTCCTTGAGGGAGGATCAGCGACCAGATACAAGTCCTTGTCAGCCTCCATGGGAAACTTCCACCGGAGAGCTTGTTGTATGATGGCATCTAGCTGGTCCCTTTTCCGCATGACCGTCTCAAACTCGATCACAAGCTCCTCAAGACAGGGGATGGAGCTAAATTGATTTCCCCATGATCGAGCTGCGGCGTGCGGGCAAACAGCCTTTCCCATATCAGCTACGCGGGTTCTCCCGGGTCGGAATGGATCGATGCCTAGGGGGTCATTGTCCTCCCAGTACCACCAGTCCGTGTGACGAAACGTGATAGTCATCTTCTTGGGCGCGATTCTGCATTCCCCTCGCAAACTGCGCCCGTCGTCGCCTATTTTGAGCCCTTCCCATATCCGGGACCAATGATTGTCCTCTAAGAAATACTGCTGGGTAAACAGGTGTAGATGTTGTACCTGAGCCCGCTGTTTGGGGGTCATTTTGCGAAAATAATCCAGCGGAGACGAGGCATCATTTACATGTGGCGGAGATCGATAGAACCAGAAAGTATGCTCGTTTACTGCTGGTGGGAGGAGGGACGCCTCAACGTAGATTTGCTGGCATGTCTGGAGGAGCGCAGTCTGGATGCGCTTGGGTTGCTTGTACCCGGGCCGGTAGTAGAAAGCATTTTGCTCATAGAGGGAGCGAGAACCATCATCTGTGAGAATATCCTCAGATTCAAGGGCAAGCGTATAAATGCGATTGCGGATCTCAGCGGGAAAGACGGTAAATAGTGGGGATGTCAATGGGGCTGCAGGAAGTGATGGGACAAGGTCCTGGAGTGTCTCCAATCCCTGTACACGGCGTTTTTTTAATAGTCGACTCGAATGCATGTTGTAAGTAGAGTTATGGGCACGTAAAAAAGAATACCTACCACGTTATATATACACGGAGGGCACAAGTCAGAGAACCCCCGCTAGAAGTGGATTAGCCCCATGGGAGCCTAGAAATGTCTCATAGTTGAGCCGCAATGCCTTGCTGACGTAAACCCTGCTGGAAATTTGGAAAGACTCAAATAAAAAGAAAAGTATCAACTTCAGAAGTGAAAAAAAAGAAGAGAACAAAAAGAAATACGGACTTCTATCTGCGTGAGATTGAGACTTGGAACACATCTGTTATTAATGCGACCAACTCCGAGAATCTCTTAGTGATTCTCACTTCTTGCCCTTCCTCACCTTCTATGACTTCAAGCTAAGCTCTAAAGCCTCTAGATTCTTCGCTAGTAAGTACGTTAAATACTAGATTCGTAGTCAAGATTCTACTTCGTAAGGGACTAGTTACTACCTATGCCACAATTCGAAATGAGCAGACTGATATTTAATAAATTGTATAAAACTTTTCCATTGTCGGACTTGACTCTAAGATAAACAAGGAGACAAAAGGCTAATAATACAGACTCGCTCGAAATCAGTTCACCTTTTTATTCTCTTCTCTCTTCGAGATATTTTTGAACTCTATTTTGCAGTACACCATACCATTTATGGTTACTCTACCCCTGACTTACATTCTTGGCAGTATCTCCATACGGTAGTTAATAATGACATCAAAACAGCCATCGTATTGTATATGCATTGTCTATTCCGTGTCTAGAATATTTCCTTGAAAACAAAGTAATCGTTGTGGATGTCGACGATTGAACGCGACCACATTCAGCAGCTTCGGCCATCTGCGATATGTTTAGGGCTTCGCTAGGTATCATATCACGTCATATCTTGAGCTTGGCGGAAGAAGCCTTGGTCCCGTTTTGCGGAGGAATAGTGGAATGTTCAGCATGATGGCGGTGGAAACAACTAAGGATTGGCTGGCTGGGTTATTTGGGGAACGCCATTGGAAAATTAATTTATGCTTCGCCTGCTCATCCATCTGTTTACTGAGCAGGCGAAATGATTTATGGTTGGTAGTCTGGGGGTTGCTGGGTATTAGGGAGTGCACGTGTCCTTGTAATTCCTGGGAGCTTGGTTCTTTCTCGAAAATCGATCTGAAAACTATAGGCCCTTGGTTACTGCCAGCTAAGAGAAACATAATAGTACATACTCACATTTTCTTAATTGGCAGATATCGTAATTAGCTTCCCTAATAGGACGAATCACTTACAGCTTGCTGCTACTACAGGTGTAAATAAGATTAATATACATACAAAACTAGTTTTAGTATATTAAAGCGTATATACTCCTGATTTCGAGAACATATAGCTTAAATATACTATTGCTACCGAGTCAAGACGTCTCTAGGAAGGAGTTCCTAGTATTCAGAAGAAGCCATTAAAGAGCAAAGCACCAAAAATAGGACAACAAACAATAATAACAAAAAGCTAGCGATAAGACTACTTAAGAGTACCAGAAATGTAACATAACCTCTTGATTATCGGCAGAAGTTTACAACTACTATAAAATACAGTTGCGATAGACCGCACGAGACCTAATATCATCCATAAAATTGCTTCCCAAGGTACTTCCTTGCTCCCAAGCTGAAGTCACAAGGTATAGACGAAACCGGCGGAAATTTTGCTGAGATCATGGCACTGGCACCACCTTCTATGCGGAAGTCTTATTTAAGCAACAATATACAACCTCGTGATGGTATCTACTGGTATCATACGACGGGATATTTATTTAAGCCGACTTTAGGAATATAACTATCCTCATGATTTTGACTACCGTAAGGCACCACCTTCGCGGTATTCGGATAAGCTCTGGTTCGTTCCATTCAAGAATCAAAACTTAAAGTTACCCGTTACCCCGCGGGCCCGCCAGCTAGACCGAAACCGGCTCGAAGCTTTGTTACACAATCTTTTCGTCATTTGCCATCCCAACAAATTCATAATAATAAGATTCTAGCTTCGTGCCATAGTACGCTTTAACTAGATTGGAATACGTAAGCCCTCGCACTATCTCTTGTTCTATAGTCCTATAAATTCTTCTGGAGACCCCCCACTCTGCCCCATTCCACATCAAAAAGTGAACTTGAATATTGTATTTGGAACACAGATACTACTACCCCTATCGCCATTTCCAACTATGAGATTCTCTATCAATGTCTTATCTCTAGGCTTGGTAGCCACTGCGCTAATGCTTAAGGTGTCAGCCATGAAAAACTGCGCCAAACAAGATGTTCTCAACAATGAGAACAGAATCAAGTCAGACGACTCTGGCCAGGTCATATTTGTTCGTGAAGGACAAGTCTCAGGCAGCGATTGGAAGAGTGGATCCCCTCCTTCGCTTGGACTTGGACTACTTGGGGGGGAATGTGATGATTGCGACTGTTGTGTCACAGCCTTCTGTGGAAGCACAGGATGGCCACCGATTGGAAACAAATGGAAATGCCGTGGTGGTGCGGATAATTGTAATTGTGGCTGCTCCCTTGGCTGCCTGTAATTTTCATGTTCGTTTTTGATGGGGTTTAAAAGTTCTTGTGTTGTCTCTAAATTGGACTAGCCTCGACCAATACGTCAACAATATACTGAGTAATTAATTCAATTTTATCAAGAACCATGGCCAAGCGCAAACAGCTTGCCTCAGATCAGATCAAGGTGAAGACTTACCTCACAGTTGGATTCGGCATCTGAGGATAGACCGGGGCACGTATTGATCGTGTGTTTTGAATTAAGGTTTTGGGAAGAAGTATAAAGAAAGAAAAAGGTGAAACTGATTTCGATTATCATTAATTAATGCCTAACCAACGCCGCGATATAAAGATTGTCCATTGGATTAAGCAAAGGGGAGGATGCCGTCAAATCATGAGGGATGCGAGGAAGCGAAATGACAAGGCTTTGCGAGTGGACGACGTCATATCCAATGATCGAATGAGTAGAATATTCTGGCTGGCCGAGATGCGAGTACTGTAATCTACACCAACTCATCCAATGTACATCGACAGATGCAAAGGTGGACGAAATATAGTCTTATAACTAGTGCATATTAGGTAGGGCTTGAGGGAATAGACACAGAGAGAACAGGGGTAAAACTGATTTCGAATATCATACTATATGTGGCTAACCATGGGAGGTTAAATCCACAATCGTATGTATCCTTCTTGTTGGTGAGTTACAGATTCACCGAGCGTGTAACTTACTGTTACAAAGCATTTCGTGACCTTGCGTTAGGCTAAATCAAAGATAGGATAGCGTGTTTCAGAATGAAGTTCAATAAAGAATTGAAGAGAATCGAAATGTGAAAATGATTTCGAGCGCGTCTGTATATAGCTCACATTAAAGACCGAAATATAGGTCATATCATATGTCGTAACTGGCTCAGAATAAAACAAAAAGTGAAAACATATCATGTTTCATGAATCATGAATCGAAGATTGGCCCGTAGGCTGGAATCCCTTGGGATTCAAACTCGTAAACAATGTCTTGAGTCATCTTGGGGTTGCTGATCACAAACACTGCCTCCGCTTTGAATTCCTTCACTTGCTGACGCACGACAGGAAGCATGTCAACACGGCCGTCACGACTGGTATCGAAGATAATCGGATCTGGGCCCATCTGATGGACGAGATCAAGGACATCCTGGCCATAGGTTTGCAGGGGGTTACGTGTCTGCCAAATGACCTTGATCAAGGGCCGGTTTTTGTCGCCTAGGAATCCGAGACAGGGTCCTATACCGGAGCCCGTGGTGACTATGATGATGCGGTCGAAAACACGTAGACCATATCCGACGCCGCGCATCAGCGACCCGCGCTTCCAGAGGTGAGTTGGCGGTTCACGGATAGTATCGGCCGTCCAGTCCCCTGCTTTTGACACCACGATAGACCAGCTCCTCTTATGTCCGTGGCCCTTGACAAATGGTTTCTTGCCACGTGTGTTTCTGGCAACTGGCTTCTCACAATCTGGAATGGGGTCTGGGAATCCGGCAAAACTGTGCCAGTCGCGCAGAGGATGCTTTGAGACTTGAACGCCCTTTGCGAACTCGATTGGCTTGAAATCGAAGGACAGTCGTACAGCATGCGAAGACAGTGGCTCGGCCTTTACTGGAACCCTTCGCAATAGTAGCCATGGGTGGGCCACGGCGACGATAGCCGCAATCAACAGCCAAAATGCAGGTAGAGTGACGAGGAAGTGACCAAGGGTTACCTGCTCAGCCCCGCTTGATTCATGAGCGAAGATCATGACCAGGGCCACGAAAAGAGCCAAAATCAGCCATGAGGTAAATCGGTGGGTGAGTTCAAAGTAATCATGCATTCTCCTGCGGAAGGTGGGGTATGCCACAACTACCATCACGAAAAGCAGCACGAGAATGATGTAGGCAACGGCGATTGGCGCGGGTGAGAACTTGGCATCTGTCTCTGTGCTGATGGGAGAATTTCTCCAATAGATCTGTGACAGCAAGGCAACAAATCCAATATACCACACCAAAGATGCAGTGCCACAGCCACTGTGGACACCGCCGTAGTGGGCTGCCTTAGCGCATCTGCGGCGCAAAGACAGGGGTGCACTTCGAGGAATCGAGCATACCACTCTGTAGATAGCATTGACCATCATTGGGTGTCGAGCGAGACCGCATGCGACCAAGTTTACAGCTGTCGCATTCACAAGTGCGAGAAGCTGCCGATCAGAGATCATCACGTAGAGAAAAACTGCGAGATTTGCGCAAAATACGACAGTGAAGAGTCGCCGATAAACAGTGAACAAAACATATCTGAAGTGCGCAAACCGCTTTCGTCTGGGTTCTGTAGGCTGAGCCTCCAGATCAACCACACCAGGGGACTCGTTGCCATTGGATGAGACCTCCTTAGAAGAGTAGTTGTCAACTTCCTTTTCAGTATCTGGCTCAATGGCCAGGTCATCATCTATGATAATGATCTGCTCAGGATTTGGATCAATGGCTAGATCATCATCTACGATGATAATTTGTTCGGAATTTGGGTCAACGGCCATGTCACAGTCTGTAACAATGCCCTGTTCGGAATGTGGAACAATAGCCTTGTCATGATCTACGACAATGGCCTTGGCCGGGGGTGTCGGCATGCATAGATCGTTCTTTTCAGGGTCCTCCATAGCTGGAAGTAAGAAGATGGAAGAGGAAGGAGGGAGAAAAGAAATTAGATACGGCAGCAGGGTGTTTTATTGCAATTTTTTCCCGTGTGGAAGACTAAAAGACGCCTTACACATTTTAGTGCATAGAGGATTTTCCTATGAAAGTCACCCACGGAATCCTACAGTTCCCGGCCATTGAACTAAAGTAATGGATCCATGAGAAGGCTCCACGGTGTGGAGATACCTACCCTATGTTGTACAGACATATGGAGTAATTACAAAGTATGGAGTAATATGTTGATGGTGACTTGCCTTGCTTACCAGGTGGGAACATGGACGGTCCAGCCCAAGAGCCCAAGATCCACACTCTACCCCTCAATGCAGCTGCTTCGAAGCCTTTCCATTTAGGGTTGTTTTGAAATTTGACCAAATTCGGAGTACCTCGGTCGATGTAACCGGACAGACACCAACCTTGGTAGATCCCGACACCACCCGGACACCGAAGGCTCATATATTATTTGTTCATAATAGTGGTGGGTTTTCCCTTCTGGCTGGCACAGAACCTAAAATTGAGATCTGTGGGACCAGGGAAAGCAAAATGAACATTTAAAGAATCGGGATGCGTGGTGGAAACCATAAAAACTACATAGTCGACAAGCGGGGCTTATCGCCTTGCTTCACAAGCGGCATGCAATTACAGAGTATTATCCCACCCATGCTGAAGCAAGGGAGACCATGCAGCAAACGCAGGTTTGTGAACAGGGCAACGTGTCCTCCATACGGAGTCCACGTTCCTTGCTATCATTCCCATTCGGGTGTGAGAGTGTAGAAAAGAGGTCCCCACCGTGGTCCGCTCCACACAATTCGAAAAATCCGGTGTTTCTGTTGATCAACATGATCGGGCAGTGTCGATCCAGTTCCCGATGTGTTGAGACTGTGGACTGTCATTAGTGGAGCCTTGGACGAGGTTGAAGTTGTTCACGCTTGGTCCCCCTCACTACATTGAAATAGTATCTCTCACCCCGACTATTGCATATTGCAATGATCCTGTAATATGCACAGCGGGGCTATCCGTCATGCAATATGCGAGGTTGCTTCAAAGATAAACGGTCGGATTATCCCCTGAGCATGTGAGCTTGATGACGGGACTCGGGACCCACTCGCGGCACGGGCTCTCAACACGGAAGGTCTTGGCAATTTCGAACATTTCATACATTTCGTATGCAAAACACTGTACTGTAAATAAAAAACACATATACTGAATATTTGGACTATTGAAACATTGAACCAGCCAAAATTGAGAAACGCTAAAAAGCAAGGAACATGATGAAGAAAAGGTTACCCTTAACCTATTCTATACTCAGTATGGATCATCGGAAAGTTCTTTAGCTCTCTTCAGCTCGCTACTGAGACAAATGAACTAGTAGAGGCAATTTTCCTTGCTAATGCCTTTGTTGGTTGCGAGCCAAGAAATTCGAAGGAGGACAGTTCTGCCCCTAGTTCGCGAGAGACCCAGTTTTGGACGGCTGTAGCTTTGAGGGAATCAACTAGAGGCCAGTATTAGTCAAATGCAAGACCACAATGCGGAAATATTAACCGGGGAAAAAAAAACGTACCGCCCAACGCAGACAATGGGAGATCTGAGTCAATAGCATCGGCGGTTGTAGCCATTGCATCTGCTAGATATTCACTCAGAGCGCTAAGGACAATCTCAGTAGCTGCATCGATAGAATCAGACTCCTTAAGTAAGGTGCTGGTCTGAATAGAATCCTCAGTATTCTCAACAGCGAAACAAAGCCGGTGATCGAACTTTCGATCGAGAACCCAGCCTGTAGAGCCATTGCTTCGAGACAGGGAGTCGGTCATGCCAGCAATAATCTGAGATGGAAGAGAAAGTTTGCTGTTGATGATCACCCGAAGCAAGGTCTGGAGCTCATGGGTCATGATTTCTGTGCCCTCAAGATGTTTGTATCGACGGCGGCGTTGCTCTTGGTCTTCAGAAATGTCACTGAGTCCACTGGCATCTGGAACGAGGCCGATGTTGATAGAATGACCTGGGAGACCATGGCTGCGTCGCCATTCCATGAGAGCATCAATGAAGCCATTGCCCGCAGAATAGTTAGCCTGTCCCATATTACCAATGACACTAGCCACAGAAGATAATGCCACAAAGAAACTCAAGCCTTGGTTCTCCGAAAATAGATGGTGCAAGTTCAACGTCCCGCGGATTTTGGACTGTGTGGATTGGGTCCAATCATCAAAAGTCATGTTCTCAAACATTGCGTCCTGGAAATAAAAGAATTAGATCATGTTGATAGAAGAAAAGAAAACGAGGGAAAGTTACCTTCAGAACTGTTGTACACTGAATCACACCTGCGACAGTCCAGTTCTTGCTGCGAATCTTGTATAACAGGTG